GGACTTTGCAATGGCTGTCATATAAGGAGAAGTCAATCAGACTGCTACTTTTGAGCTTGGAAAAGAGTTGCCTAAAGGGGAATATGATAGAGATCTATAAAATCATGAATTCTGTGGAAACATTGAATAAGGAAATTTTATTTACCCCTTCACATAACAGAAGAGAGGTCACCAAACAAAATTAATAGGCAGCAGGTTTAATACAAAACCAAGAAAGGTAAGTGTTTTTTTTCACACATTGCACAGTCAACCTGAGTAACTCCTTGACAGATGATATTATGAAAGCTAAGACTATAACAGGGTTAAAAAAGAACTAGATGAATTCCTGGAGGATAGGTTCATCAATGGCTATTAGCCAGGATGATCAGGAATGGTGTTCTTAGCCTCTGTTTGCCAGAAGCTGGGAATGAGGGATGGGAGATGAATGATTGAATGTTTAACTGTTCTATTCATTCCCTCTGGGGCACTCAGCATTGGCCATGTTGGAAGACAGGGTACTGAACTAGATGGACCTTTGGTCTGACCCAGTATGGCTGTTCTTATGATTTGATACAGTGCAGTAGATGTTCTCCACCTCAATTTCCCCAGCTTTGTTTTAATAGCCTGTGGAATAGAGAAGCCAACACACATTAACAAATTACCCCATCTGAATAAGACTTAGGACAGAAGCAATTAAAATAAATAATTTAGATTCTCCCCTCAGGACCTGGATTCACAGCTCCCAAATGTAATGTCCATAATACCAGGTCCCCAGGTCTGATTAGAGCTTAAGAGAGACTATGACCTGCTTTAACCTGCCTGGATTCTACCTCCCTTTCCCTTGCTTAGCTTCCTTTTTTTGTTTTATATAACCTGGGCTTAGGGTAGGGCAGTGCCTCCTTGAATACACCCGAGACTTTCCCAGTTTTAGAGTCTATCCTGTCCTTTAAATGGGTAAAAGCTTCAGAGGGGTAGCCGAGTTAGTCTGTAACAGGAAAAACTTAAAAAACAGTATATAGTCTAATAGCACCTTAAAGGCTAACAAAACATGTAGATGGTATCATGAGCTTTTGTGGGCACAACTCATTTGAAGAAGTGGGCTTTTAAGTTTTTCCATAAATGGGCAGTACATTCTTTTAGCCCTTTCCACTTCTAGCCATTCCCCACAAGAAAGAATATTTGAAGCATAATTTGTACTTGGTAGCTCCATCTATATAGAGTAAGAACTAGTCTTAAAAGGAAGCCAGGTGAGGTATGAATTTCAGAGAGTATCTTTCCTTTGATTTACTCCTTGGTACAAATGCCATAAATAAATAAATACAGTATATATTAAATGACCTCTGTGATACTGCTGAGGAAGTTAAAGTCAGGTGTAGATCAAAGATTAATTTCAGAAGTGCACCTGATAATTATAGTAGGCTTAGTGTAACATGAATGCATTTATTACCAGCCATATCATTCTGTATGTTTAGAGAGGGCATGTACTTTATTTTAATTAGCTGTTTCTTTCACTGGATTGCTTGGCCAAACCATCATGATAAAGAGAGAAAAAATGTAGCCATTGGTCAAAATGCTTGTAGCAGATCTCATTTTAAATTGAAGCAATTTATTCAGAAACCAATCTACTACTGTAGCAGTAATCAATGGGTTTTCCCCTAAAGTAGACCCGTTCTTGTTCTGCTGGAGGACTGTTGTTAATTGCCTGTAACTAAATGATGATTGTGCTCTTGAATGTAACTCTTTGGCACATGTTCATTTGTTGCATTGAACAAAATGCTAGTTCCCCCCAGGCTCAGCAGGATAATTTTCCTTTACAGTTTTCAACCTTTGGTCGTAGTCTCTTAAAGAGGGCAAGGGTCTATCATTTTAACATAACACAAACACTAAATAGGTTTTAAAAGATTTCCAGCACCTTTTGTTTCTCCTTTTTGATGTGGACTTGTGCTGAAACTGAATCTTTTTAAAATGCTACCACTCCAGGCAACTTGAACTTGAGCAGAAAAAGCGCATCACGCTTGCTGTAACAATCAGGCCCAATGTTTAATACAAAGGATTAAATAAAGCAATGAAGTGTGAAAATAAGTATGTCTTACTACCTTTGCTTATAGTGTAACATTAATGGTCATGATATAACATGATATAGTACTTTGCATTGGTCAGTTTCAAAGTGCTTTATAAAGGAGGTCAGTACCATTATCCCCAATTTACAGATGGGAAAAACAATGACACAGAGAAGCTTACTATGGACCCAAGAGGTCAGTCAGACTCCTACTTAGTCAGATAGTCTGTGCCACTACTACAACAGTGACAATGCAATTTTTAGCTCATTGCTTGAACAGGGGTAGTACAAGTCTTTCTATCTGGGCTGAGAGGTATTTTTCCAGGTGTAGTGTAGACATACCCATAGGATCAGTGAATGTTCTTACCAATTTTGCTGTGTTGCCCTGCCAACAGAGAAAAAATACTCTGTGAATTCAGTTTGATTTTATTAAAAGGAAATAATTATATATGTTGTACCTGCACTAGAGATGTGTATAATTCCAATAGTGAACATTGCACAAAAATGTGCTTTAAAGGAGACTTTGTATTAACCAAAGTTATACTTTTCTTACAGTATATTAGTTTGCATACACCTTGATGGTGGAAAGACAATTACATGCAGTGTTTTCTGTTTAACCTCTCCCTTGTTGAGTTTGGGGAACATTTTGTTTTTGAGTAATAAAGTGTTTCCTTGCCTTTAATACATCAATACAGTGAGTACATTGGTTGGTATATTTTACACCTAGCAACATAGCCTATTAATACCCCCCCATATTCTGATTACCACTGAACAGCTGCAATACATGTGGTGCAAAATGATAAACTGGCTGTTGCGTGCCAGTGCAGAGTAATTTCCATTTCCATTTATTTTCTAAAATATTGTATTAAAAGCCTATGCAAACTGTGAGTATTGTTTTGTTGTGTGATGTTTTTAAAATGAGCTTCCTTTCTACAGCCTGAAAAAGTACTGAAAGTAGGAAATAAAAAGTGGTGATCTTAAAAATGTTAATGCAAAAGAGTTTCCACCAAAGTTTAGAAAAGAATGATATGAAATGTAAATTATTTTGTTTTATTGCACTTCCAGGCCATGTCTCTATTGAACAGAAGATCAGCCCAACCACAATCAATCTTTCAGAGTTTGATTTAGTGAGTCTAGTTAAGACTTGCTAAATCGAATGCTGACGGCTGCCCCCGCCAGCATCTGCTGCTCCTCATTCTTTGAGGTCTGAGGGAAGCCAATGAGAGCATTTGATCCCATTGGCCTCCCACTGTGGAGACAGTGGGGAAATGCAAAAGAAGGTACGTTGACTCCAGCTACATAATTAATGTAGCTGGAGTTGTGTATCTTGCTTCAACCTCCCCTTTTAGTGTAGACCTATCTGTAGTGTCCTCTAGGGAACAATGAAACCTTTTTTTTTTACCAGTGGTGTGTATATCAGATTAATAAAATGGGTACATTTGTTGGTAGCACATAGTAAAATGAAATGGAACTGTCATTTTTTTCTAATATTCTGTTTCTTCAACTGAGATGTAGAGTAATGTATTATTACATATGCATAGCCAAAAAAACATTACCTGGATAATGGGAGAATTTACATTGCTTAACCCAAGCACAGGCTGTCCAAATGGAAGCAAATGTTATCTACACAGGTTGCTGTTTATAGGGCACAGTGTTCCTTAGTAATGCATTATATAATATTTTCCTTCTGGAATTCTGTATTAATTTCCAGTTAGGTTTTTTATTGGCCAAACTGTGTTCATTTAATATCCAAGTCCTGCTCCAGTCCTCTTTCAAAACTGGATTATAGAAAAATTTAAAAAATGTTTTCTTGGGTTTTTCTGGAATGTACCAAGTTACTGCTCCTCCCCAATTTTAAGATAGCAAACAAACAAAACCCTTGGCACTTTTCATGATTTTTTTTTTCTTTTTGCATTCTCATTTCTTATTTGAAGAGTAGTGAGAACAATAACAAAATGGACTCTCAAGAGTTACTTCTATTTTCTTGACTATTCAACTATTAGATGTAGAAACAACAAACAATGATGTTTGTTATCATCTTATTGTTATCACTTATCACTTATGTTTGTTATCATCTTATTGTTATCACTTATCACTTATTGTTATCATCTGATAAATGACATCACCGAGGAGATTGCTATTGTCAGACAGACAGATATGGCTGCATTTGATTGGATTCTCCATCCTAAGGGATTGAGCTACATGACAATGATCTCAATCCATCATGTGAATCTCCAGTGGGATAATGTAACAAAGGATGAGCGGTCATGCTCTGAATCTGAATGTTAGATCTGACAAATTGTGATGATTTGCAATATCAAAACAGAAGATCTCCCTGTCCAGGGAAACAGCAGGGAATAAAGATGAATTGCAGATCAACTGTGTCAAAAATATTAACACATAACTGAGGAATCGGGTTTGGGGGCTTCTAGGATGATTTGTCTTCATATACTGTAAGCATTTTTATTTATATTTTGAAATAGTAAAAGGTTTATCTTTCATTTAATCTAATGCAAGTGACAGAAACCCATCATGAAACACAGCTGTGTGTCTGATCTTTTATTTCTGCTGGGGAGGAGGGTTGTGTCAGCTCTACAAAAGGAGAATATTTGCTTAAAATATGAATGGTGCGATGCAATATATGTATTGCAAACAAAGCAGTGATATATAGCTATAAATTAAACCCAGCACACAACATTGGGCAAAAACAGTTGACTGACTTTTCACATAAGCTATTTAAAATGTTGCCTGTGGGTATTTACATATGTATAAAGGAAAAACTGCATGCATTATCTGTACATTTCTCAGAGAGTTCAGAAATGTTCTGTAAACAATCTGGAAATTATATTTAAAAATCCTGCACTTGCATTCTACTATTATTTTCAACCTGAACATTATCTCCAGTGTTAACCTTTCTCTAATTCTGAATGTGGTTGTTATTCCATTTTATAATTCTTTGCAGAACTGATGTATACAGTTGAGCTTGCTGGTGGGCTTGGTGCTATTCTGCTGCTGCTTGTTTGTTTAGTGACTGTCTACAAGTGTTACAAGATTGAGATTATGCTCTTCTACAGGAATCATTTTGGAGCTGAAGAACTAGATGGAGGTAAGGCAGCTTCTCAATATATTTCCTACTTTGAAAAAATGTCTGTCTCTTTTATCAAATGCTTAATTTTCATTGGAGCAGGAAGTATTAACTATGCGGCAACCATCAGTGACGTTTCTCTCACTGCATTAGGCACTGCGTGGAAAATGGGTCCCTAGACAGCAGAACAGAAGCAGTGGTTGTTTGACTGATACATTTGCTGCTCTCTGGATCTCCAGTAGATAACTCTGTCTGTTGGATTTTTGCTCCCAACACCAAGTGTGAATTACAATCACTGATACATTAAGTGTGTTTAGATCTGTCAGTATTGAAAGTCAGCTTCAATTTCCCATAAGTGATAAGCGTCTCCTCTAATTGTGTTCCCCAAAAGTATTAGATGTTAAAGTGAATAACTGATCAGTTTTGATAAACAGTGCTGTTTTCAAATTTATTCAGCAGTCTATGCTCTTGGGTTTATTTACTTAACTGTTTAGACAGTAGCTAATTTTGATTAAACTAGTTCTGATGTGATGATTCAAATATGCCAGTTTAACCAATAGTAATTGGCATTATTTGCATTGAACTATATCAGATTTATACACTACTTTTATTACACTAATGAGAGTCACAACTGAATAGCAAACTAGGCTGAACTCTGGGCATTGATGAATTAGGCTTGGTGCCTTCAATCAGAGGTCTTGCAGTTTCTGACTACTACCTTATGGGTGATACATGATGGCTACGTCTACACTGGCACCCTTTTCTGGAAATGCTTAAAACGGAACAGTTTTCCGTTATAAGTATTTCCGGAAAAAGTGTGTCTACATTGGCAGGATGCTTTTCCGGAAAACCACTTTTTCCGGAAAAGCGTCCGTGCCAATGTAGACGTGCTTTTCCGCAAAAAAGCCCCGATTGTCATTTTCGTGATCGGGGCTTTTTTGCGGAAAAGAAATCTGTGCTGTCTACACTGGCCCTTTTCCAGAACAGTTTTCCGGAAAAGGTCTTTTGCCCGAACGGGAGCAGCATAGTTTTTCCAGAAAAGCACTGATGATTTTACAGTAGATCATCAGTGTTTTTCCGGAAATTCAAGGGGCCAGTGTACACAGCTGGCAAGTTATTCCGGAAAAGCGGCTGATTTTCCGGAATAAGTGGCCAGTGTAGACACAGCCGATATGCTTATTTGCTAAAATCCTAGGCTGTGTCTAGACTGGCAAGTTTTTCTGCAAAAGCTACTGCTTTTGCACAAAAACTTGCCACCTGTGTACACTGGCCGCTTGATTTTGAGCAAAAGCACTGACGTTCTACTGTCCAAAATCAGTGCTTCTTGCGCAAATGCTTTGACGTTCCTGTTCGAGCAAAAGCCCTTTTCCATAAACGTTTTTGCGCAAGAGGGCCAGTGTAGACAACTAAAACCTGTTCTGCACAAAAAAGCCCCGATGGCAAAAATGATGATCGGGGCTTTCTTGCGCAAAACCACATCTAGATTGACACGGACGCTTTTCCACAAAAAGTGCTTTTGTGGAAAAGTGTCCGTGCCAATATAGACACACTTTTCTGCAAATGCTTTTAATGGAAAAACTTTTCTGATAAAAGCATTTGCGGAAAATCATGCCAGTCTAGACGCAGCCCTATTGAAATAAGGGCATTAACCACTATTGAAAATATAAGGTGTGGATATCCTGGTATAATTTAGAGTGTGATGTGTGTGAGATGGAAGATGTTAGCCAAAGCTGTCACACTGAGGATGAACAGAGGCAGTGAAATTATAGTTGTTTATGTAATGTGATAAGATGGAGAACATTACACCTAAGATCCTCAGGGATTGACCCATTTCTCCCTATAATATGAAAATGTGCAAGGATAGTTCCCAAACAGCAAAATCAGAATCAAATAAAGCAAGTGATTTTACCTGCTATATACACACACAACACATACACACAAATATTTCAGTATCTTGCATCTGTATGTCACCTTTTTTTTGAGAGAGAGAGATCACAAAATGCTTTACAACTGTAAAAGTCTCAGAGGGGCAGCTGTGTCAATCTGTAACTTTTAAAAATCAATGAGCAGTCCTGTAGCACCTGGGGGTATGTCTACACTGTACGGCTATTTCAAAATAAGCTATTCTGGAATTGTTATTCCAAAATAGCTTATTTCAAAACAGCATGCCTACGCTGCAGGGAAGCCCCAAAATTAGTCTGAGGCAGGCTTCCCTAATGTAGACATGCTATCTCGATTTGGAGCCCCAAGTGGCACAGGGGAGGAATAACTTAGAATGGCCCTGATGGGGTGCTATTTAGAAATAGCAGCAGTGGAGAGCCTATACATGTCTTATTTTAAAATAGCTATTCCAGAATAGGCATTATTCCTCATAGAATGAGGTTTTCAGATTTTGGAATAAGCCATCCATTATTGCAAAATTATTTTGAAATAATGGAATGGCTGTGTAGACACTCACATTGTTATTTTGAAATAATGCTAGTTATCTAGACATAACAGTGCAGTATTAGATACTAGCTAGAGAGAGAGAGTATCATGAGCTTCCGTGGTCAAAACCTATTTCCTGAGATGAATGGAGAAAAAGGGGGAAGAAAATTGGGAGGTTCCCCCTTTTTCTTCACTCACCTGAGGAAGAAGGTTTTGCCCATGAAAGCTCATGATACTTTACAACATGAGTGTATTAATTCATAGAACACCACAGTGTGATAAATTGGTATTACTAAACTAACAAAGAGGAAACTGAGATGTACAGAGATTGTGACTTGCTCAGCATCACATGGGTTTTTGGTAGACCCCGATTTCCTCAGGAATCAACCTCCCCAATAAAGCAATCTATCCTCTCTTCATCCTTTCTCAAGTCCTTGCTTTCTTGATCTTCCTCCTGAGAGGTAGACAAAATTATCCAAGCTGACAGAAAAAAAGATAGACTGTTACTTCTCTGTTTTAGTTGTATGTGAGAAAATGTAGAATGTAACTGTATTCAATCAGACCAAAATAGGTAGATACATTAGTTATTATTTAAATGGCAGTAGTTTTCATGTTTCCATTTACCATTACAGTTGTAATAAAATTTGAAAACTCACGTGGTCAGTAACATTAGACAGTGAAGTCTTATAACTTCAATTACTTGAGAAAATGAAAAATCCATTAGTCATTCTGAAACCTAAATCTCCCATTTGAAAATAGTAACCAAAACAACACCTTGAGCCAGAAATTGAGTTGGAGGTTTGAAGAGGGAAAATAATAATAATTGTCTATTTAAATCAGTCTCAATAGTAAAATAAATTCTACCATTACAGTGAGAAGTTTTTCTCTTTAGATAATCAATAAAAACAGCTGAGAATTTTATATGCTTCACTGTGGTAATAAGCTAAATGAAATATTACTCCCAGATTCCAAACAAAATAGAATGTATTGAATGAAGTGGAGTATATAAAAAACAGAAGTCAAAACCTATTGCATTAAGGGAGTTACTGCAGCTGGATCTTTTATAATAAGTGTCTATTTCACTTAAGTTCTCAAAATTAAAGCACATGTAGGAAGACATAACAGAAATGCCTCATGGACCAATAGTTTATGCTTTGTATGGGAAGAAGTTGTAAAAGTAGGCTCATGTTCTCTGTAGTCTGTATTACAAATTAGTCTTCTGCTTCACTGCACTTTCCAGAGGATCTCCACAAAATGCTATCTTTCATAATTCTCCCTAGCCCTGTCTCCTGTTGGACATTAGCGTGTGTCCATATGTTATCCCTTATTTAGATCATGTTCTGTCATATTACAGCATAACATATAGTTGAGCAAACACTGAAATATTCACAGGTTCTTTTTGTACAGTGGACTGAATCCCTACAGGATAGCAAGCACTCTAAAATTTAGGTCCAGTTCAATTTCTTAGCAGAAGATTTCCCTCAAAATATAACATTTGGTTTCTTTCCTGATTGGAGAGGTAATCCTGCAGGACATTAAAGCTCATCACAATCAGTTCCCTTCTCTCCTAGCCTTAGAAGAAAACTGCATTCATTTTTCTTGGCATTTCAGTCTGAATCTTATGTAATACATGGGTAAACTGTAAAATATATTTGAAAGCAAAGCTTTTTACCCTTACAGTGTGTGTAACTTTACCTCAGTAAATTCTATCAAGCTACTGGAGATAAAAATGTTCCTGAACTTTCCTCCTAACCTCAGCCTTGGAATATATCTTATTTCTTGACTCTTTGGAAAAAAAAAACCCTCGTTCTTTACTTCTGTCATCTACCCAAGCCACCTTTGTTCCCAAATGCTAGTTCCCTGCCTCTCCCCCAGAGTTAGATCACCAACAGCTCTCATTGTACTTCAGATTCCCCCTCAATGTACTAATGCATGTCTCTCTAGTGCTAGTTCAATCTCTTATCACACCATGATTATAGGACCTGACCAACTCATAGCTCTCATCATTTTTAGTTTCTAGCTATTATCCAGATTGCAATTATAGAACTCTATAAGTTTACTAGGGGGCAGTACATAATACAGGAAAAAGTATAGGTTTGGAAGTCTGAAATTCTTCCATTTTTAATTCTGTATCCCCTCGTTGATTTGCTTTGTAACTTAGTCAAGTCTCTTCTGTATCTTTTTACCTACCTGCTAATTGTAGACCTGTTATATTTTGGACCATTAAGAAAACTAAAAAATTTTCTATAACAAAGTGAAAACCCAGGCAAAAAAAAAAAAAAAAAAAGAAGACGACAATGATGAAGATGACGACAAAGCTTATTAGGAGCTTTTACATGCTCAACACTTTTGAAAATCAGGCCACACAGAAAATCAGACCTAATCATAGATTTAAGAGCCTAAGTGTTTTTAAACATCTTACCCAAAAAGTTCTATATAAGTGCTAAGAAATGCTAAGTATAATTATTATTGCAATTTACATCTAGAAGAAGCTACCATGACAAATGTGACATCGCTAGTGACACTAGTATATACTGTATATTTCAGATCCTAGGGGGAGAGATTTCATACCAGTTTCCATCTTGCTATAAAGC